GGTGGGAGGTGTTCTACCATCCAGGGGACCTCTGGAAACCGGTTTTGTCAGCACCAGCTGGAGACCCACCTCTACGCCAAATAGAAGGAGCTGGGAGGTGGAAAAGGCAGGCAGCGAGGGCTGTTCTGGAGAGCTGGGAGTGCTCTGTGTTCTGGCCCCAGCAGGAAGAAGGCAGGGAGTTGCCCGCTCACAGATACGATGCACAACAGACGGACTTCAGCACAGATGCTGGCAGGGCTTGGCATGCCCTCAAGTTTGGAGGACGCAAAGGCTGATGCCAGGCACCTGCTGGGAGAAATCAAAACGCAAGAGGATTGCTGGGCTTGGCAAGGTGTGACAAGAGAGAGGCCATGTGGGAGTGAGCTGCTGTCCCACTAACAGTGGGAGAAAGGGAGCGGCTCCCTTGGACCAGATGAGGAGCTTTTGTTAAAGAGCCGGCCTAGAGTCATTTTGCACATGATTCTACCCATGGGTCTGTCTATAGAGGCAACGTGATCCCACAAAGAGGATGCCCATGGCTGAGAGTGAGTCCAATGCAGCCAAGCAGAGAAGGCACTCCACATCCAAGGGAAACACAAGAAGGGTGACAGCTTCGGGGGGTAGTCCAGGAGCCCATGAACAGTCCCCATAGAATGAGTCAGCACTAGAAGTCGGCCCTCACAGGGCATCGGCTCCGGGTCATAACTGTACCAGGCCAGCTAGACATGTGTGCCCCTGTGCCTCCTCTCTGCCCATGGGGCAGGACCCTAGGTGGGTCCAAAGCAGCAGCTAATGAGTGGGAGAAGAGCTGAGCTGAGATGAGAAAAGGCAGAGAAATCTCACATGCCCTGGCCATCCTCTGCAGCCTGTGAACCCGAGGCAGAGCTGGGAGGGGGAAGGGTTACGTGGACTAGGACTGGGAATTTCAGGATTATGCTGGCCTGTAGCTGTGTGATTATTCAACTGGGCTGGACTTGTCATTACCAAGTGTCCAGAGAAGCCATGGCCCCCAAGGAGCCATGCGAGCTGTAGGAAGGAGGGCAGGGGAGGAATAAAGTTAGGGCTGACTTGAATCTTGTCAAGTCCAGCTTGCTCAATTACATGGTTATATTCAATTTTTGATGGCCTCAGGGTGCAGAATGTGCCTCCTTGGTATTCGGCATCTCACAATATCTAGGGCAGCTCTTGGCTCTAGAATAAGCAGATCTCCTGTGTAATGAGGGCTGTTGCCTAGAGTGGGCCCTGCACTCACAGTGGCAGCCCTGAGCTGCTGCGGACACCAGGCCAGCCTGGCACCCGCCTGGAGGTCATCCGGCCCAGGCCTCACAGCGGTTCATCGACGTGATCGCCAGCTGAGGTCAAACACACAGTCACAGAAATATCCTAACAGGACCCGACTTTAAACCCATGGCCCATTTCTGGCTCTACACTTTAGTGAATTTTGTCAAAAAAACAAACCAACAAAATCCTAAAAGTCTTTAGTAAACTAACTATACAAGAACTTCTTTCATGTGAAGAATGCTGCTGTGCTATTAAAATCCTGGTTTAGCATTTGATTGCTTTTTTTCTCATATACTGAGAACCTCAAAAGATGGAAGTGGTCTGGTCCTGCTGACCTCCGAGAGGCCCTGCTGCTGTAAGGATAGAGGTCATCCTTTGGTTGTCTAGCATCTGAACTGCCCACGTATGAGTCTTAATGGGAATCAGAGTCCAACTCCCTCTAGAGAAGCTTAAAAATGCTGGGACCTTGTTTTCTGAGCACCCCTCCTATGCTTAGCTAGTCAGGTGCATCTGCCAAATTCCAAATCTGAGGCCACAGAGTGGTACAAGGAAGGGGGTGGAGGGTGGGGGGCAGTGGAGAATTATTTCTGGTGGTGGCAGTAGTGATGGCAAATAGAATGTGGCTCTAGGGCCCCACGTTCATGTGTGAGTCCTCGGCCCCTGTGTCCTCACTGGACCCAGTCAGTGGCATGACTTTTAATTCAGTTCTGGCTGCACAGCCTCTTTCATTCTCCAAGCCTGGTTCTCCAGGCTTCCTGGCAAATCTCTGAACCATTCAACAACTCATCATATAATTCCTCTATTAGTAAGAGCTGGCCTCTGTTGCTGCAATTAAGATCCATAACAGAGACACTGTCCAGCACAATGATTATGAGCTAAGAAAGCCTGCATTCTATTGAGAGATGCTCAACCCATTAGTAGTCATCAAAACAGAACTGCATTAGAAGAGCAAAGAGACGTTGCCTGACATCCACTTGCCTGGCAGAAACCCAGAGGCTGGGTAATGCCCGGTAGGAGTGGGGATGGGGCTCAGAGATCCAGCGGCTGCGAGGCGGTAGCTCGGCTCTTTTCTTTTTATGTCTGCTTTGGTCCTTTCCATTCTCCCATCTGGGGTGGCCCAGCACAAGGAGAGGCTGTGCTGGGTGGTGCAGGCCATGCTGCTGCCACTTACATGGGCCATCTCACCTGAATGATAGGTGTTGGCTAAGATAAGCACCAGAGCTCGTGACCAGGGCTCAATAAATGTTAGCTGTGCAAGTTTTTCCTTGCTTTCATTTTTTAAGATTATATATGCTCAGAAAAATAATTTAACAGGAAAACAGGAAATTTCCTCCCACCCCAATACCCAGACCCCCTCCCCAGAGATAGATCGCTGCTGACAATGTCATGGATACCCCTCCCACAGTCCACTCCTATCCCGCATCCAGAAGGACCCTTTGGAAATGCGAAACAGATTACATCTCACCTCTGCCCATACGGCTGTCACTCTACATCCTGACCGTGGCCACAGAACCCACACGATCTGGGCCCTGCCGACTGCTCTGACCTCATTCCCATGACTCTCGCCTCCCTCAGTTCCCTGACCTCTTCTGACACACTTTGGCTAATCTTGGGGCCCGCTGCCCCTCTTTCTGGAGCACCTTCCACAGTCTCATACCTCATATTCTCCTTTTTTGCAAGAGTCTGTTTGAATACCACCTCCTCTGAGAGGTGCTCTCACTGTCTGCGCCTACCCCTGCTTTCCTGGTCTCTGGCTTCCTTCTTAGCACCAGCCGAGCCGCTGGCTTGATGATACATATCTGTTTATCAATCCATTGCCTGTCTTGCCACAGGGACTGTCAGCCCCATAAGGCATGGCCTGTTGTCTGCTGATCCCCCACCACCAGTGGGTGCTATATCATGGGGGCACCTCTGGAAATGCTCAGTGACTGTGGGCGAGCATGTCTCCTTCTCCTTTACAACTATTGTTCTTATACCTTGGTTTTTCCACTTAACAATGCATCTCAGAGTCTGATCTCTATTGGTCTATGTAGATCTGCCTCATTCTTTGTAACAGATGCACAGCATTTCTCCTGATTGGGTGCCCCATAGCTTTTATTTAACCAGACCCTTTACTGATGGAAAGAGAATGTTCCTAGTTTCTATTATCACAGAACAAAAGAACAAACAAAAAAGACTGTGATGAGCCTACTTCTTCATGCACATGGGAAAGTATATCCATCCATACAATAAAAACTCAGGGTGCAGATGGTATGGGATTTTTCATTTTGAAAGGTATCATCAAACTGCACCCCCCAGAGAAGTGTCCCAAGTAACTAGTGGTGGGGGGAGAGAGAGGAGAAGGAGATGAGGTCAGAGAGCAGAGGGGCAGGAAGCCAGCACAGTACATGAAGGCACCGCAAGGACTGTGGCTTTGATGAGAGAGATGGGAAGACAGTGGGATTTTGAGAAGAGGAGGGACACAGCCTACCTACGTTTTACAAGGACCATTCCGCTGTTGTGTGGAAAGCAGATGGAAGGGGCAAAAAGAGAAGTCAAGAACAGACAGGAGATGACAGAGGAACAGAGGTGAGAGATGGTGATGAGAGCCTGAACCAGGGTGGCAGCAGATGTGGGGAGAAGTGCTTGGATCTGGGATACATTTTGAAGGTGGGGTGGAAAGGATTTGCTAATGAAGTGAATATCAAAGGAAGAGAAGAATCAAAGATATCGCTCAGGTTTTTGGTCTGAGCAACCTGGGGACCAACCTCTGAGATGTTAGAAGCAGGGCCTGGAGAGGCAGCCGCTGGTGGAAGGAAGATGAGTTTTCTTAATCTTAAACTGTTTGTGTTGTTTTGATGGGGCACCGCTGAACTGCAGTAGGCAGAGCTGTATGGGGCGGGCGGGGGGAGGGTCTAGCCAAAAGGCCTCCAGAGCAGTGACTGACTTGCTCCTTGCTGGGCCCTGTCTCCCTTCTCTCTGCTTCCCCATTGGTGCCTGCTGCTGATGTTTGGCTGGAAACTGCTGTTTCCTGTCATCTGAAAATGTTTCCCTGTCATTCCATCAGCGCTCCCAAATCTGACCTTCACCCCGTCCGCTTTGCTGGGTGCTGAAGAGGACAGCAATCGCTCTGTGTCTGCAGGATGTCAGGAGGAGGTGCCTGATTCTGACTGGCTGCAGCCGCTTATCAGGACATGGCAACGACAAGGAAGGAAGATACGATCAACAAGTCAGACAGCTGTCATCCGAGGCCAGGCGGCTCCGCATGAAGTCAGCAGTGCCTTCACTGTGTGCTCCTACCCCGCCCGCCGGCTGAGCAGCCCGCCCTGCCTGCTGCACGCAGCCCCGCCTGCCTCCTTTTGGTTCCTCCCACACAGCGAGCTTGTTCCCCTGCAGGGTTTTGGTACCTGTCCTTCCCTCTACCTAGAATGTTCTTCCCACAGCTGGTTCCTTCTCATCAATTCAAATTTCCCTTCTCAGCCCAGGCCTTTCCTGGTGGCAGTCTCTAAAAAAGCCCCTGCCAGTCTCTCTCTAAATGTCCCTTTTTGCTTCCTTTGTTCACTTGAAATCACTTGAAATTACCTGGTCTGTTTGTTTATTTGTTTACTCTCTCTCTTGCTCATATCCCCAGAACCTACCACAATGCCTTGAACAGAGTAAGGGCCCGGGGCGTCTGAGGAGCAGGAAGCCCAGTTGCAGTAACGGGGTGGCATCGTGGGGCAGAAGTGCACAGGCATAATCCATCTGAAAGATCACATAGGTGAGATAAACGAGGTGTCACACTGCCTGCTCCCATGTCATTACTGTGTGTGAGGTCAATGAAGCCTTAAGATTCTATAAAACAGTCTGAAATCCCCTTTCTACCTCAGTGACCAACACCAGTAACTTGGGTGACAGAAAGGAGATAAAAGAGCAAAGAGAAAAAGTGCAGGTTCCTTCCCACTCTTTGCCTGTATCATCAGCTGGCAAGCTCTTGCAGGCACACCCAGCTTACACCCTTTCACTCCACAAGTATTCAAGTACCTGTTACCTGCGAGGGACTAGGCCAGGCTTTTTCTAAGGACAAACTTCAAAATAGAGCCAACTTCCAGAAGAGCCAGTCTTACCTGGACTCAAACTAACACCCCAGGGGAAGAGGTGGGCTCACCCCAGGAGGCACTGCCCTTTACCAAACTGAAAGGAAGCTTATTGAGAGACTCTCAGGGTCCTTGCAACTGCCCGTGGTCTTAGCACCTTCTAGAAGGGAGGCTTCTGCAGCTCTGTCCCTGACCTGGCAGTCCCCCTGCATGAGCTGGGATGGGGACAGAGAAAAGAGGCCCCACCTCAAGGATTCTAGGGTGCTGAGAGCCACCCTACCCAGCAATCTTGGCCTTCCAAGAAGTTTCTGTCCCTCAATCAAATGCAGACAATGAAACGGCACAAACTAACGTGGTAGACAACAAAAGGTAACTATGTTATCTTCATCACATGCGTATCAACATGAAAGCCAGTCCCCCAGTGCCCCGTCAGGACAGGCCCTGCATGGGTGTGCCTGCAGGAATGTAGAGAGACCACTTGGGTATCAAGGTGGAGTGGTGAGCTAAGTGACAAGAGGGCCTTTCTGTAGGAGAAGCTGGGCTGTGGATGGCTCTTCCCAGGTCAAGGCGAAAGCACAGGTCTCTGTTGGCAGGTAAGGAATCCCTCATGAGTGTCCATAGCTTTCTATGTCTACCTCAAGACACTGCCAGGGAACAGTGTGGACCCTACACTGGTTGGTGAGAGGCCAGTGAGAAGAGACGGTGGCCACTGCAGGGTGCAGCCCACCTGGAGAGGGAAGGTGGGGGCAGCAAGACCCAGACCCGGTCTTGTCCTGGGAGCATGGACTTGGGATAGTCCAGCTCTAACGAAAGGCATCTGTAAGAAGGGACCTGATGGGCCAGAGGAAGCCAGGCAAAGCTTCGGATACTGACAAGTTTCAGATGGAGCCTCCTGGGAAGATCAGGAAATTGAACAGTTCAGGGGCCTTGAGAGAAAAGGTGGGGGAGAAACAAGTGAAGCAAGAGCAGAGGGAGCCGGAAGTGGATGTGTGTGCAAAATTGTTTAGAATAATTGACCATGGAAAGGAAACAGAATAGTTAACATGGAATGCAGGAGGAGGAAGCCCAAAAGAATAGCTGTGGTCTGGTTCCTGGGAATAATGAGTTTGGTAGGGACAGACTTTGGCTGGGGACTCAGAGGGTTGAGCAGCCTTGAAAGGAGCTCAACTATTGACCTTCCTCCTTCTGACCACGTGACTCTTCCAGGTATAAAAGCCTGTTGTTCTTGGAAGAGGAAAAGGTAGTCCAGTCAGACAAGGTTCCACCTGCGTCTGAGACCCGACGTATTTGAAAAGCTATCTGTCTCCAGGAAAAGGCAAGGTACCCAATTTTGCTTGTGCCCAGGGAAGAGGCCGGTGGGCTCACAACCCTAGGAAGAGATGGGACAGGAGTGTGTATAGATAAACCTAATGAAGTGGGACTAGAGTATAGGCTTTCCTCTTCAAGGAGGCGAGGGAAGAGGTCACAGAGATGAGACAGGGCCAGGACAAGTCACTGGGGAGATGGTACTGGTGAAGGCTGGGGTGCCTGTGAGGGCAGGAGACAAACAAAAGGTGACTTCAGTCCCAAGCAGGTGGGAAGCTCCCTGTTCACCGGGCCCTCTGCTTCCAAGATCCTCCAGTTCAGGAATGTTATTACTTAGATCGGCCGCCCACATTATGTTACCAGTAATAGGTTAATAACTCAAGTTTTATTTTGACTATCTACCTTTTAATGATAAATTAAAGGCAACTAAAGGTTACTTTTGATTGACATAAATCTCATGTATAAATGCTTTCTTCAGGGGTCAAGAAAGGGTGAACTGTTGGGCCACAGACAGAGAACTGTAGTTCTGGAGAAATCAGTGGTTACAGGAGGTGCAGGGAAAACAAGCTGTTGCTGAGAGGACTTAGAGGGATCTGCCCCGAGTCACATGCATGAGCTGAGGCGTGGCCGGGCCTGGAATCCTGGTGGCCTGGCCCAGGTCAGGCCCTTCTGCTAACCCCCAAACTTACAGGCTTCTTTGAAAGGCTTGGTGTGGAATCAAGAAGCTGGGCATCTGGGACTCACCTTGGGCTTAACCTACTTTTCTCTTGGACTTCAACCAAATTGCCATTTTCAGAGGTAAAATTGAGAATGTGTTCAAACTGTATTACTTGAGGAGAGTAAAGGAAAAGGCAAAGATAAGGAGGGAAGAGAAACTCAGAGACAGTCTCAGACTCTTTCTTTGTGAGGCAGTGGCCATTTCCTTCCCCTCTGTTCAAATAGCCATTGACAGGCAGTTTTTGAGCACCTACTATGTGTCAGGCACAGTTCTAGGTATCAGGGACACAATGGTGAGCAAGAGAGGTGATGTCACTGCCCTTGGAATTGCCCTTTTGAGTGGGGATGTGGAGGTCTCAGAACTTTTCCTGAGGAAGCTTCTGGGACAATTCCTAAGAAACTAACTCTCTCTCTCTCTCTCTCTCTCTCTCTCTCTCTCTCTCTCTCTCTCCCTCCCTCTCCCTCTCCCTCTCTCTCTCAGTAGGGTGAAAATGGAGAGGAGGAAGGTGCTAAAGAAGTGATTAGGCTGGGAAGCAAGGAGACCTTCTCTGCATATCTCACAGGAAACAGAACAGCACTAGCCTAAAGGGTCAGCAATAATCACTCAGCCAGGGAGGAAGAGAATGGATTCACCTTGGTCCGGGGCTGGGAAACCCGCAGTCGGACAGGACTCTGACCTAGCCTTCTGTGTCCTCAGGGGGGATGGCCCTGAGTCCCCGAGGCCTGGGACTTCTCCTGGCCTACATCATCATCTTCCTCATCGGTCTCCCGGCCAACCTCCTGGCCCTGCAGGCCTTCGTGGGGCGGGTCCGCCAGCCGTACCCTGCACCCATCCACATCCTCCTGCTCAGTCTGACACTGGCGGACCTCCTCCAGCTCCTTCTGCTGCCCTTCAAGATGATCGAGGCTGCAAACAATTTCTTCTGGCCCCTGGGGGATACACTCTGTGCGCTCATGGGTTTTGGCTTCTACAGTGGCATCTACTGCAGCACGTGGTTGCTGGCGGGCATCAGCATCGAGCGCTACCGCAGCGTGGCTTTCCCCATGCAGTACAAGCTGTCCCGCCGGCCTGTGTACGGAGTGATTGGTGCTGTGGTCGCCTGGGTATTGTCCTTTGGACATTGTAGCATTGTGATCATTGTCCAATACTTACCAACCAACAATACTCACCCACCATCAGCCAAAGGAAACAATGTCTGCTACGAGAACTTCAGCAAAGAGCAGCTGGACGTGGTGCTTCCTGTGCGGCTGGAGCTCTTCCTCATCCTCTTCCTCATCCCCATGGTGGTCACCGTCTTCTGCTACTGGCGCTTCGTGCAGATCATGCTCTCCGGTGCCCAAGTGGGGGCCTGGAAGCGCTGGAGAGCCGTGGGGCTGGCCGCTGTGACCCTCTTCAATTTCCTGGTGTGTTTTGGTCCCTACAATGTGTCTCACGTGGTGGGGTTCTTCCAGCAGGGAAGTCCAAGCTGGCGGCTGTGCGCGGTGTTGATCAGTGCTCTCAATGCTTGCATCGACCCCTTGATTTTCTATTTCTCCTCCTCAGTGGTGCGCAAAGCCTTCGAAAAAAGGTTACAGATTCTGCGGAGCTGGGGTGCCTCACTGTTAGGGCGCTGGAGGGGAAGAGCTGGAAAGCTAGCTGCAGAGAGAGGAAATGAGAGCTTAAGTACATCCAATGTCAGTTTTACAGAGGACTAAATTCACCAGCTTGGCGCTATGTTTTTTGAGGAAGAGGACTCAAAAGGGGGAACAATGAACAGAACAGGGGCAAGTTCTCCTGTGCCTAGCTTAAGGGGCAAAGAAGAGCAGTGGGCATCTCAAATCCAACTCATCCATTGGGTGAGTGTCTTCATTTTATCTCCCGGGGTTGATGACATTTCCTTGTCTGTGGTTGGTACGGCTTCGTGGTGAGCCACAAGCCCTTTTATCCTTGGAATTCTTTACCTTCCCCACCCAGTATCTATCAGATGATAGTGTTCATTTATCCACTGCAGAGCTCTTTGCTCTGTCCTTGGCCCTGATTCATAAGGGGGGTGGGTTCCATGTGCTCGGCCTGAACATCCCACACAGGCAAGAGTCTGTAGAGGACAGAATCCTGCACATGAGCCCAGAAGACCAGCACCCAAGTCAAAGCAGCTGCTGGCTCAGATCTATAAAATGGGCAAGAAAAGGAACAGTCCTTGAAGGATGAATCAGTGCAGGTGTGAATAAACTGTCAGGATACTTCTTAGCAGTTATGTCCTGTTTCCAATCCCCAGCACTGTGTCACACACTGAGATATACACGCATACCATGCATGGCCTAATAATAAGTGTGCCTGTTCGCTGATTCATCACAGTGAACACGTCCATCTAAGTGAAAAAAATGAAACATCCACCTTCTTAGTTTGGGCTTTCTTTTTCCCTCACCTTTGAAGATTTCTTTTTTCTCTCCTCTCGCCTTCCTTTGGGGTAATTTTATTTATTTTTTTGTTTCATTCTCATATTCATTTCTCGTATCACTGAGTTGGAAATTATATGCTGGCTTTATTATTTTCGCGGTTCTTTTAGACATTTTAATAAGTTAGCGGTTCCTTAGCTGCCTCCTCCCTCCCTCTGTGCCTTCTTCCCTTTGAATACCACATGGAGGAAAACCAATCCAGAAGCCATCCAATTATGGGCATCCTCTAGAGAAGTTCTCAGAAGGCAGTGGGGAGACCCCTGGGGGAGCCCAGAGACCCTTACGGGGATCTGTAGGGTCAACACGCTTTTCATAATGAGATTAAGATGTGACTTGCTTTTTTTACTCTCATTCTCTCACAATAATAAATGTACAGTGGAATTTTTCAGTGGCTACTTGACATGCGATCTCAATGGCAGACTGAATGCAGAGCAGATCTGGGAATCCAGCTGCCTTCTATTAAACTAGACATTAAAGAGCTCGGCAAAAATGTAAAACAATGCCACTCCTCTCACGAGTGTTTTTGAAAATTTGGTTGTTTTTGCAAAAATATGTTATTTATATTGACATGCAATGGTTTTATGATGATTTTTAAATAAATTCATATAATTTTTAAGTGTTTCTGCTTTAATTTTTAATATGGTAGTAGATATTAATGGCTGTAATCTATACAAACAAACAAAAAAAACTCTTTGGTGTCTTAGTAATGTTTAAGAGCATTAAGAAGTGCTGAGATCAGCCAGTTTGAGAATTGCTCTAGTGAAGTGGGAGATGCTGAGTTTAAGTGCACATATGTAAAACATGCTACCTGGTGTATAATGTTTAATGCTTCAAAGTTTAGTTAACTTTTGCAGTTAAAATGTAATGTCACTTAAAGTTGCAGAGATATGAGCTTAAAATCTTTCTGGTCAAAGCAAAGCTTTTTGATGTATTAAACAAGAAATGCAAAAACCAGAACTGTTCCAACATAAGATAAAGAGCCACCAGACCCGTTTAGATGGGTAAGATATGGTTGCTCTGCATAAGCCTTTGTGATCATCACTTTGTGCTAATAAGAAGCTTGTTCTAAAGATCCTTTGAACTGGAATTTTCTTCTCTTTTATGGGGCAGGATTACTTCATCTATGCTTAGGTGGTAGTATGTTAATTAAAAAATAGGCACAATTTCTTATCTTACAAGTTGTATGAACCTGAGAAGGGCGAAAGTTCAGTACTGATTATATTTGCCCTATGTAACCCTGAAAAAAATGTGTGTTTGATCCTTGCCAGCAAAGATTAAAGAAAGCTTGTCCAGGCAAAAGTTATGAGCACCCTTAGTGTGCTGTATTTTGGAAGGGGGGCATCACAAAGCCTACTTGGGTGTTAGAATACTTGATAACATCTGGTTCCTCTAATCTAGTTCAGTGCAACTACTGTTGCACCTGCTGGTAAGTAAATGATTCCTGGAATATTGTGTTAAGGGGAAAGAAAGGAAGGTTTGAAGAGGCCGTTAGCATTGTTTCTTCAGCCCCCTCTGTTTTCAGGTTAATGGTGGGGAAGGAGAGTTTCCAGTGGAAAGGGACTTTGACATGAAGCCAGATCACCTGGTTTACATAAACTTATGTGAGAGCTTTCTCCTTTAGCTGGGCTCAAGACCCCATACCCCTTTACAGTCTTTGAATATAGTCTTTGCCCTTTTGGCAATGAGTTGCTATTTGTCTGTAGTTTGTGTTACATCAAACAAGCATTATTTGGCAAAGACAGAACTACACTAACCATGCATTTTCAATCCATCCACTCCATCCTACTTGCAAAATCCCTCTCTGAGACCAGCTCACTTGGCAGAGGCTATTCTCCCACCCTGCTTGTGGGGAGAACTGATGGCTTACGGGAAGTCTACTAAAAGCCCCGCTCTGGCATTTGCAATATGACTCCCATGAGGAAAGCCCCTCTACGGGGCAGGGTGTAGAGTGGTAAGAGGGAGGTAGAGAAGAGCAAAGTGGTTGGTGGACTTGAAGATTAGAGTTGTATCATAATGTGCCCTGAAGTCTCTTTTCCAAAATAAGCTGGTGATCAGAGGTGACCATTTGCTGCTTTGGTCTTCTTGCAGCACCCTGTCTTCTTTGGTGACAGCACCCTGTCCTTCCTCTGTATGCTGTGGTTTGATGGAGTGACTTCACTCCCCTCTTCTTACTCCAGGGCAAGATTGTCACCAGACCAGGGCCAGCATCCAGGTCCCCTCTGACCATGGGATGGTCCCACATGGGTGTGTGACTCAGTCCAGGCCAAGGAAAGCCAGCCCAGTGCTTCTCTTTTAACCATTTAGGAGAAAAAACCCATCTTGTGCCAAGCTGACCTTGGGAGAATGCTGGCCCATTGCTTCGGGGCTGCCCTGAAGAGAAAGGCTGAAGTCTCCTTGAAGGAAGGCAGAAGAGAAAGAAACCAAGTCCAGGTCTCTGATGTCCTAAAGCAGATACACTCTGGGGCTTTTCAGATCTGAAAGCCAAAAATTCTCCCTCTTGAGCTGAATCCAGTTTGAATTGGGTTTTCAGTCACTGGAAACCCAAAAGATAGGTCATTTCACCAGTGAGTACAGTTGCAGCCAATTTCCTTCAATTATTTTTAAAATATGGATTAAAATTTTAAGTATGGAAACTTAAAAGCATAACACATATGCATATCTCCATCATGCAGAGTGGATACTTAGTAATGACTAGTCATATTTCTTCTGATTTTTGAAGTTGATGTTCCTATTATGTTTTGCCCTCACTGAATTTCCTTCACCAGAAGCAACATGATTTTGGAACTTCAGGCTATGTTTCCTGTCCATGTCCTGCTGGTGAAGCGTTCTCTGTACCTGAGTGCACAAATACTGCTTAGGTTTCTTTCATGTTTTCTTAAATGCCCATAAACGTAACACAGTACAAGTTATTGTGTATCTAGCTCTTTTCTACCCCAAATCATGTCTTTGATATCTGTGCCTTTTCTACCCCAAATCATGTCTTTGACATCTGTGCCTTTGATACTCATCACTGAAGTTTACAGATCTCATTCATTTCTGTGATTGTAGCATGTCTGCTGCATAAAATGCCATCGTATTAATAAGCCATTTTGCTTTTCCTATTCTACTATTTACAGATATTTAGATAATATCCCATGTCACCAGCCTACCAATGCTGCTTTGATCACCCCTGTGCATGTCTTCTTGTACACATGTGGGAAAGTCCCTGGCAGGAGGGAAACACTGGATGCCATGGCATTTGTGGTTTTAGTTTCATCAGAAGCTTCCAAATTTCTCTCCAAAGTGAAAGCATAAATCCAGCTCTTTCTGAAACAAGGCTCACAATACAGAAGCCCCCACCTTCCCACCAGCTCTTCCAATTCTGGCCAGGGCAGCTGACACAAGATGAAGAACGACAGGGAACAGGCCAGGGAGGCACTACCTGCCAGCAGGAAAAGGAGTTGCAAAGGGGCCCGAGACCCCCAAAGTAACCCAGCACATTGGCGTATGTGCCAGACATACACATGGAGTGTGGGGAGATACAGTGGGGCGGACAACCTCTCCAGGACTCCAGGGGTAAGGGAGTGGCCCACCTCCCCACCTCTCACCTTTCTTAATCAAATCCAGATTGTCATGAACATTCAAGGAAAGCATAAAGGTAAAATCATACAATTAAATGCATCAGAGGAAGATTTCTCCCCTGCATTCCATTGTTTATATAAAAAGGGTATGCATGCCGGGGACCCACGGTTACTGTGAGGCCAGAAAATCTTGGTCCTGGAGGAGAGCACAGATTGACAATGGAGTGAAGGAAAAGTAAGGTGCTTGGATCCTGAGCGGGTCCAGGGAGGTGGGGAGTCGAGTGTCCTGGGGAGTGGGGATGAGTGTGCAGCCTCTTCTGCCTCCTGTGGATGAGTATGTCCACATAACATGGGCCAAGACAAGGCACAGATCTTGTGCAGAGATAAAGCGTAATCTGTCTGTCATATGTTCGTATGTCGGTGTCAGATGGCTTCCAGGGGGACTGGAGCCACCTTGGGTCTGTATGGTTGGTTCATGCTGCAAAAAAGTAAGAAGGCAGAGGCAGTGCAGAGACAGGATCAGAGGCACTGCCTTCAGACAGGGCTGGCCCACATGAGGACCCCTGGCCACCATGGATGCTTCAATACGTGGCCCCACTTTCTTCTTGGGTGCTCATGAGTCTAGGGATTCTAGAGAGGTTTTGTGAGGCAAGGCTGAGGAATAATCAATTTGACTGGATTCTGACTAGGGAAAATAGACCAAACAGAGGATGCAGCCAGGGCAGGGAAGGAGCACGTGAGAAAACTGGCAGCCCGCAAGTTCACTTGGAATCCTCAGCCCAGGGAAGAAGTGATGCAGGACACCTGGATTTCAAAATAAAGTCTAAAGGCATAATCATGGCTGAAGAGCTAGAGGAAATCAATTAAATTTGTGAGAACAGAGTTTTGGAGGAAGAAGAAAGGGCTGAGTGGCCTGAGAAAAAGCTCAACTCTTGACCTTCCTCTTCCTGACACATAGCAAATTCAAGTGTAAATGTTCTCAGTTCCTGGGAGACCCTGGGGTGGCAGGAGCATCTGTATCTCTGTAAAGTATCCCACAAGCTGGTAAATGTCTGTTGAGGGCTGAGTTATGAGAACTGTCTGCTTGGGACCAGGATGAAGCCAGTGATTCAAAATACTGAGCAAGCCCACTTTAGAGAAGGCACCCCAGGATCTGACTCAGAAAAGGAAAGAGGTGAGAAGCCCAAGTGACCACAGGGTCACAGCTGGGGGACAAGGTGAGGAGTTCAGTCCCAGTGCAGGGGTGAAACCACTATTGCAAAAGGTCAAGGAACCTGAAAGGGGGCCCGGGTGACTAGTGGACAGGTTATACAAGACGGGAAGGCACCAAGCAGAGCTGGTCTTCAACTCACAGAAACGCTGTATTCCACTGGCCTGTGATAGAACAGTTCTCTCTTGGTGCTGGGCCTGTTTCCTGGGTGGTGGCCTGCAGTGCGTGGACACCTGGGGTTTGGCCTGCCCAGCATCCTCTCCTCTTTATTCTGGTAACAACACCCCAAATTTCCTTTAGTCAACCATGCCTCTACTCTCAGTCTGTGTGACCTGAGGGTGGGGGTCAGGGGACAGGGAAAGGCTGGCCCCAACCCAGCTGCAGGGGAAGGTATGCAACCCAAACTTGGGTTAATGTACACGTCAGTCTATCTTGGAGTCAATCCTTTCTAACTTTTCTAGAATGATTTAGATAGAAGTATACTCTTCCCATGGGGTGGTTAGGGGTAAAATGTAATCCTAGAGCTTCTGGGAGCCATCTTTGCACCTGGATCTGACCATTCCTGAAGCCACCTTGCCTCATACTGTTCAATTACACAGCAACTAAATTCCCATTTTTGCTTAATCACCTGGGACAAGTTTCTATCACCTAGAATATCATGATATTAGTACAAACAGTTGGTAAATAATTTGTCAGTAATAATAATGTTTCTGAATTATATCTTGTATGACATTTTTAAAATAAATTAGAGCAGATTCATAAGGCCATCTGTATAATAATTTCACCAATTAATCTGCATTC